AAGGGGGCCGAATACTTTCGCAAGGCACTGTATCCTGGACGAAAACCTTCTCCAGAATGCTCAGGAACTCAGACTGGGCCGAAGGTTCACCTTCCAACATGACGATGACCCTAAGCACACAGCTAAAATAACGAAGGAGCGGCTTCACAATAACTCCGTGACTGTTCTTGAATGGTCCAGCCAGAGCCCTGACTTAAACCCAATTGAGCATCTCTGGAGAGACCTGAAAATGTCAACCAATGTTTACCATCCAACCTGACAGAACTGGAGAGGATCTGCAAGGAGGAATGGCAGAGGATCCCCAAATGCAGGTGTGAAAAACTTGTTGCATCATTCCCAAAAAGACTCATGGCTGTATTAGCTCCAAAGGGTGCTTCTACTAAATACTGAGCAAAGGGTCTGAATACTTATGACCATGTGATATTTCAGTTTTTCTTTTTTAATAAATCTGCAAAAATGTCAAAAATTCTGTGTTTTTCTGTCAATATGGGGTGCAATACTCACTGTATATAGATATGTATGACACCCAAAACTGGTCCAGTATTCAACCATTGCACAGGGTTCACTGGTTCTTCCTCAAGAGCCTTAAGTTGCCATTTGGTTTAATCACCATACTTCTCTTGATGATAATACAAATTTTTTTTTTTTTATTCAATGTATTTGATAGAGCCTATCCCAGCTGACATTGGGGTCCACCCTGGACAGGATGCCAGTCTATCACAGGGCTGATACGTAGAGACACACTCACACTCACTCCTCAGGTCAATTTAGAGTTGCCAATCAATCTAAGCCGCATGTCTTTGGACTAGGGGAGGAAGCCAGAGTACCCGGCGAGAACCCATGCAGGCACAGGGAGAACAGGCAAACTCCACACAGAAAGGCATCGGGTCAGCCAGAACTTTTTTGCTGTAAGGCGACACACTAACCACTGCGGCAGGTGGCATTCAATTGAATTCAGTTTCTGTAGTGCCAAATTACAATAAAAATCATCTCTCTGCACTTTACAAAGAAAAAAGCCTACAAATCTTGGAAAGAGATTAATCAGACATGTGTCAAGAAGGTATTGTTTGCTCATTAGTAGTGTCAATTATGTAAACGAGCCTTGACCTTGAAGGAATCAGCATGACTTGGATTTGCCATGTGAGGTCATCTTGACCAATGAAATAATAGTATATCCCTAAATTAGGTCAGAGAGAAATGTGGGATGAAGCAAAAATATTCTACAGTTGTACTGATTATTTATTTTTTAGTATTGATTACTTACAGTATTACAAGTAACAATTCATCTTGTACTTTATAAAACCTCAGAAAACATCAGAATGGTGCTGCAGGATCTTAGACTTTTGGAGATGTTTGATTGTCTTCTGTAGAACACATGCCCATGCTAAGAGAAGCTAATTGGTGCTTTTGCACATACACTTTACATGTACCTCCTGTGTCCATCGGGGTTTCCTGGCACACTAAAACATATTTTTAAGATATTTTGCACATCATGATCACCATAAAGATCAGTTTTATGTGCTGAAAACTGGGAGAGTGTTAGACTGAAGATCTAAAGGTCCCTAGTTTGATCTCAGGTTTCAGCAGTAGTGTTTGTCTGTTAGTGATAAAGTGCTGTTAACATTAATCTTGATCCCTCTTCAATGATGCCATAACTTACAAATCCTTCCTTTGTAGACTTGTTTTTGTTTGTTGTTGTTTTTTTGTTCTTTGACATCAGCTAATTTGCCTGTACAGCACGTATATGTCTCTGGACAAGCTTGTGTCATTGTACCTTTGTTCCCTTAGGCAAAGAAATGAATACAAGCATGGGTTTCTCTTGAGCTTTTTAAAATGATAACATGCTTTTAATCTGCTGAAATAGCTCAGCTGGGAGAGCGTTAAACTGAATATGCTTTAATTTCGACTGTGAATAGCAGTCTTAAACAGGCCCTCTTTTAAACTTTTTGTTTTTAATGTTTTCTTTAGGCCTACATAATCAGAATTAACAACTGACTTTTTTATTTAAGCAAACAGAATGAGTAATATCAGATAATTCTATTAAGTCAAATGGACCTTCGATTAACTAAATATGATTCTGTGACTTTGAGAAGCATCTGTGTTGTGTCATGAGAAAGTAGAGTGAACCAGTCCACAGTTATAAATACTCCTCAACCAAGATAAAACCCAGTAATGGGGAAATGATTACCATGTTTTGCCACTAAAACACAGCTGCTAACTGTGTTGAAATAATAACAATGTCTAAATCTATGAGTGGTAGAGGGCTGAGAGGACAAGGTCCAACCACAAACACCACCACACACACACACACGCTACTCATCTGCTCTGTAGTAACTGTAAGCCCACATGTATGGTGTGTGCCCTCCCAGGAGTTAACCGCCTGAGGAGCTGGCTATAAGGCAGGAGAGTGATTGCACGAGTCATATTTAGCCAGTGCCTCACTTCTACCCAAGTCGAACACATCCAACTACACATCATGCTCCGGAGGTGTTTTAACACATAAACACACATCACATATCTGTGCACGCACACCAGTGTGTTTCAGGCATGGTCAGTTGTGTCCAAATTTCAAACATACCTCAGAAACCCTCATAATTGCTATATCTCTTTAACATTCCTGTATTTTGCTGACCAGCACACACAATCAGAAAGGTTTTATCGCTAAAACTGGCAACACAGGAGCCCTGACTATTTATCTATTGGTTATGAAAAGCCTCATACTTTAACTTGCATCTAAATGTTAAGGAAAACGTTCTGGGCCTGTAACTAGCATTATTTAAAGAATCATGAGATGACAGACATGACTTGAAGTGCAAAATATAGAAGTAAAGTAGGGTGATCTGCTTTAGTTTGGTTTGAAAATGAGCATTTTTAGGAGAAAATTAAGACTATGTCCCCCGAATTGGAGAGAGCCCTCTCAAAAACATCAGGTTATACTGTACTAAATTTAAGCCATGAAGGTCAAGAGGCCACATTTGCTTTCTTGTCAGGGTGCCCAGTGTCCCTGGCCCCTGTATATACTGCATACTGTGCCATCTTCCACAGACATGTTTTGATGCTTTACTTTAAATGTATTGTTAGTAAGGCCCTTATAATAATTATTTTTTACTAGTTGACCAGTTTTGATCTGGCATCCAGAGGCAGCTGATTTCTGGTGTTTGTTGGGGTCTCTTAATCTAGGGCCCTGGCCACTTCACCAGTCTGTTCCCTGCAGCTGTAACACATGCTGTCATACTCTACTCCAGTTTTCCATGCAAATGTTTTTATGCACATTTTCAATTAGAGTATTTGAATTTGTTTGAGGTTTGATGTCAGCCATGGCAATGTGACAAAAGGGTCTCTGTAGAGGGTCATTCATTTGTGGTTGTCAGGAAAAGCTAGTACAATAAATGGTTATTTTTGCTGGTTCAAGACTGAACTTCTGCATTCAAAACTAAAGGAATGTCTTTAATAAATAAGGCTTATTCCCACAGTGAAACAAAAAAGCATTAGTACACCACTTTTTTGCAAACATTACCACAGTAGACAGCAATAATTACATCCATGTATACAGTATATTTTCTTTCAGTAATGATGACAAAATGATGATGAGTAAGTGACCAATTTAGTGCTCACAGAGTTGAGAGTCTGCTTCCCTTTATATCAATGATCAGAACTAAAATGAATAAATCCAGTTTACGCTTAAAGCAATATTTTTTAAACATTGTTGGTAGCCCAGCATCTTACCCCTCCTCAAACCAACTTCCCTTTACTGTAACAAGTGTGATATGATATGCTAATAAGTGAGGTTTAGAGGTGTTGGTTTTTCAGACAGAGCCAAGATAGTTATTTATCATAACGTCCAGTCTTTATGCTTTATGCAATGCTAAGTTAAGCTAACATCTTCTGGCTCCAACTTCATATTTAATGAAATAAAAAATTGGCATCAGTTTCTCATTTAACTTTCAGCAAACCAAATACACAGTAGACATGTGGTGTTCTTTATGTTAAACCATTTCTTTAGATGAGAAACTAGAATCCTCAAAGCCATGTTAAAACCTTTGCCTGACTGACAGCCTGGTTAACTGCTTGGCTAGGAGGTTAGTTATTTGTCTGAACAAATGCAGTTAAGACTCACAAAAACAATTTCATGCTGATGGAGTACTGTCTGTCTGATCTTAATGTGTGGATACATCATTATTTGACTAGGATGGTGGCTGACTGTTTTTTGAGAGGCTGGCTAAGCAACTGGAGGAGTTCATTGGACTCCTGTGCCAATGGTCGCCTCTGCAACAAGCCTCTGTGAATTTTGACAGCACTGCAGTGTTTGCCTTTTTCGCTCAAGAAGACTTGGCCCAAACCAGCTTTATACTGTATGATATACAATACATTCATGTCCATTCCAGAGTCATTACTTATCTCAAGTGACAGAATAACAAGCTTAGGTTATACTGACCATTATTTGCATTTTTCAGTCTTTTTTTTTTTCAGTGCCATGATGTCTCTAAATGCTTTTTCAGAAGATGTTCTACCATGTCACAAACCAAGTCTTGATAAAATGTTCACAATTTGTTGTGTTTTGTTGTGTAAAATATGTGTAGATAAAAATTTAATGGATATTAGCATAAAATAACAGTAACATATTCCATAGATCTCTGAAACACCCGTAGGTTTTTACAGACAAATTTCATTTAAAAGTTTGATCCACAGCTGAATTTTGAATGTTGCTGAAATGTTAACGGCCAGATTCCTCAGGTTATCTGGAAGCTATAGGGAAAAGTAAAACAGCGTGGTCATTCAATCAGATGTCTGAAACCATATGTCTGCAAAAATGAAAAACAAGTATAATATAAGATCATATAAACTGAGGAACAGAGTCAATCCTTTAACTTGAGACTTAGAATTTTTGGAAACATTACTCCTGAGCAGAATATAGCTTATACATTTTTTTTTATCACACAAACTCTTTAATACAAATGGCAAAACAAAACTAAACAAAACAAAATTATCTCCAAGTATTTTAATAGTGATTCAGCCATGCACATTCCTGGCCAGCCAGGGTCCATTTGTATAAATCTATCAACAAAAGCTGTGAAATACAGTATAAAATAATCTACTCTTTATTGTCTGTTTGAGTTTATGGGTGGTAACATGTAAATGAATAAATGTAAATGAAAAAGGCAACAGTAGCAAGCATTTCATAGTATAGTGCTCAGAATTATTTACAACAATATTATGTACAAAAAATATAATGTCTGTATTATACTGCCTACATTGTTGCTATACTATATATTACCACTGGAAAAGTCATAAAGGGAGGTCTAAATAAGACTTAATAGGAATTAAATTCATAAAATAAAAGTATTGTTATGTGCTTCATGTATTTTGTACTTAAAAGCATGACATAATTCTGTCTTTTATGTATGAGGACATTAAATAAACCCTCTGTCAAGGCACATGTGAGACAACTCAGGGGAGTGTGCAGACCAGAAATCTACTGACCTCTCACTAAACAGCTCCCCTCGATCAGTGAGTGTCCAATCTTACTTTAACAACTGAGGCTGCAGTAAAAGCAGTACTCTTACTTTTACTTTTTCAAAATACTTTTTCAAAAATTTAGGGGCTCTGCAGTATAGAGACTGGAGTGAAGTCATGCTATAACTTTAGTATCAGAGGCTGAAAAGCTGAACTATTTACTATAGACATAAATGTAATTACAGGCTGTAAGACAATAATGAGTGGGTTTACTGGATGTGAAGTGGCCATGTTAAACAGTACTCTGTCCTTTGAGCATGGCTTTTCAGATGACTGCAAACACTCTGAAGGCTTTACCTCCTGTTGGGTTCAGTAGACTGGAGGAGGAATAGGGAAGGAAGAGAGAAAGAGAGATGAGATGGGATATACTGTATGTAGGGGTCGAAGTACCAACAGTACTCTATGATATACATTTCTGAATATTGACTAAAACACTACATTGCTAAAACTTAATCACTCATTGACCAAGGCAATTACAGATAGGGATGTGAACTCAAGTCAATACCAAATAAAAATGACATACATTTTTGTTATCACTTAACAATTATATCTTCAAATGATTAGTTTAGCCATGTAATTATTCTCTTTATAATTGCAAATCCACTGAGTTGGCAGCTTATCACTGTAGGTACACCAATCCAAAACTAATGCAGTTTAATAAAACAGTCCTGCCAAAGATCCTCCTTAGTGAAAGTGATAATGTTCCGATTTTGCTGATTGAGTAAACAGTGATCATTTTGGAAGATGTAGCTTGTCATGTTGTTGAACTGTACTGTATTGTACTGACAGGTGTTTGTATTATTTTGTGCATTCTATTTACATCAGTGAGGGGAGGCTAAAAAACAGAAAGACTTCTATGTATAATGTAATACAGTTCGTCAGTAGCACAAACTATGGCCTCCAAAATGATCATGCTGTAGCCTACAGTTGAATCAACAGTTCTAAAAACCTGTCATCAAAAATGAACATTATGGCCTTAATGAAGGGAGGGTTTACAGCAAGACTGGCTGCAGACACTTTCAACCGTACCTGTCCGAGGTGATGCCATTCTGGTAGCTGCCACTGTATTGCCTCCGTTTGTCCACTGGCATCACATCAAGGTATCCTCCTGACTCATTCTGGATCACTCCAGCATGAATGGCAGCTCGGCAGATACTGGATTTCTAAATGGAACAGACCAATATGTGTTACATGGTGGTGTTACAGCAAATCATTCTTACAGGAAAAACTAAGAAGAATCTGCATAGTGCTCTAGAGAATGAATGCAGGGTCTGGTGGTAACCACTGCTCACATTGATTGTTATCATAAAGTCATTAAAATCCAAATGAGCCCTCTGCTTGTGGTGACATAATAAATAGGAACAGGCTGCTTTTTGACAGTAGGCTGTTATACCGTATGTGTTTAAGTTTAATAATGCAATTATTGGCTGAATCCCAAAACACAGCTTTACTCCTTAGTGGAAGCAGTAACGAGGACCTTTTCACAGCAGACATTTTTAAATGTTGTAGCTGAGAAGGCATAAGTGTAGGTTATAATCTTAATAATGCCTGCATACCATGTTTTATGATCCTGGTAATATGCATGCTGGCTCACTGATACGAGACAGAGCCACAAATAATGTTATTAGGTACACCTGTGCTTTTCCTGCAATGACAAGTCATAATGTCTGATCCAAAAAAGACAACATAAAGCATTTTCACAGGAGACATTTAAACATGTTCTAAGAAAAACAACATTTAATGTACAATGACTAATAAGAGTACTTAATGCTGAATTTCCTTTAGGTTTTACAGTTCAAATTCTCCAGTGATGTGTATGTTGATTTGGCACGCAGCACTGGCAGTATGGCTTACATGAGCATGTAAATGAAATCAAGCTATTGTTGTTGCTAATTACACTTGTAATGGTCAATCTGTGAAAATTATGCAAGAACTCACATCCGAGTAATACTTGGTCCCAATAACTCGGAATCGACTGTCATGCAAACAGTTCCTGGGACAATACAACCTGAAGAAAAACATCAGATCTCAGTTTAGGTCATAATATATTTTCAGTGTATGGGCATGATATTAATAAAATGACCAGTTTTCAGAGCAGCTGTGTTGGATTTAAGGACATCATAAATGGCTTCCTTCCTGTTTTGCAAAAATGTCATTAAGGAGTTCATCACATTGGTTAAGTTAAATCTAGATGTTGAGACTGACTGATTGAGGATAAAGGTATTTTAAAAAATGCAAAGCAGATAGATATAACTTCATATAGACATATAACAAATATAAACATCTGAAAATGTTCAATTATTTTCAATAACAATGTTGAAAGTTATCAAGGTAGCTAACTGTATCCTAGCTTTCTGTTATAAGCTAGTGCTATTACTTTGCTAATTGAATTTGGAAAAACACATGGGCCAAATAATTAACCTCAAATGACTGTGACTAATCAGCTCAGCAATGGTTCAGTTCAGACAGTGAGATGCTTTCAGTTGACATAAAAAGTCCAGTTGTTCGATGTGATAAACTTTAAAGCCAAATATTACCTGGGACAGTGTCGTACAGGTTTCTTGAAAGGGCAGAAAAGTGCCACAGTGGTATCACATCTTACTGCCTTGACTAGGAGAAAAAAAAGCACAGCAAAATTGCCTTACAGTGCTTCTGTATGTTGACAACATGATAGTGAAAAGTATGCTCTTTACCAGGCACTGACTCTACTTTGAAGGAATTTGCACTTTGGTTTTTCCTGTGAAAGTAAAAAAAAAAAATGCATAAAATTATGCCCTGTGTTGACAAGCTATGCATATTGGAAGTACATAAACAGTAAATCTACATTCACTAAACATTTTAAAATTAAATATAAGAGACTAATTCATACCCAAGTGATTGAATACCGTTCTTGAATGATTTGGTGAATTGTTGTTTTCTGCCCAGTCTGGTCACATCCAGCCACCCTCCATCATTATCAATAACACCAGAGTGTAACCCAGCTCCACACACACTCGATTGCTGCATTACAAGACACACGAAGAGGTTAATATAGCCTAAAAGAAACATGAATTTTCAATTAATTCATATGTGAATTTAGGTACCTGTAATCTGTGAGTAACAATGCTATTTAGAGTAGCTTATTTACTAGTCTCCGTTGTTATTACATGGTCTACCATTCAATACAGAAAATACATTACTGTTGTCAGTGATCATTTACCATGTCATAATATCCAGTTCCAACTACTTTTCCAGGTCTGTCAAGGCAGCCAGGTGGACATTCATATCTATGGATAGGAAGTAAACATCTTGACTTGGCTTCAACACACAACTTTGCGTCTAATAAAAACACATACAATTGTACAATTATATCTTTATTCATGTAAAACTTTATCTGGAAAGGACAAATTATTTAATCTTTGCACCTACTGTATAATCAGTCCCTTGCAGTGTCAGTCTGTTTATCACCATTTACCTGTTACAGGTTGTTCCCTTGCACTGATCTCTCAGCTTAGTCTCACAGTCGACCTGTTGGCCTAAAATAACAAATAGTAGTTTTTCACAGAATTGCTGTCATGTTGGTATTAAAGTATAATTGTTCCATTCATTGAAATGAAGCATTATGGCCACACTCCTTACACATTTGCTCTGTGCTGACAACCTGGTTTCTCTCTAGGTTGTCACTGGGTGAGCGGTCTGGTGATTGGGTCCTCGGGTCTGGCTCCCTGTCTTTCACTGGTTCAGGTTCAGGTTCAATGTAGTTGGTCTCCTCGATCTCAGGAGGTGGATGCCTGTCCACACCACCATCTGAAAATAAGGTTAAATAAAGGCTTTGGCATTGTGTAACCAAAACAAAACAAGCAGGGCAAACAATACTATTTCATTAAAACTACTAGTATCTCCGACAATTTTATTAAAGTCCAACCAAAACTCACGTTTGTAGCAGAGGTTGTCCCTGCAGCCTCCACCATAGCTGGCTGGACAGGCAGAGCATGGAGCTCCATATTTGTATGGAGCATGACCCCACCAGTTGCCTCTGAAAAGGCAGTTAGGACAGACCTTTTTTCAAATTTAAATAGGGCAATAAATTTGTGTTTCAAAATAAACTATGATTAAATATCTTTGCAGACAATCTGACTTTTTTAGATGTTTGAGCAAGAAGTGGAAGTGTATTATACTGAATAAATCCACCAGCAAAACCTATGGAAGCGTATCATTTTCAGAATCAGAATCTTCTTTATTGGTCAGGTATGTTGGACACACGAGGAATTTGAAACTGGTACATTGTCTGTTGTTTTTAAATGGAAAGTTAATTTCGGCTTTCCCTGTTTTTTTTTTAGGGGTTGCCACAGTGAATTGTCACACTGACTACTCGCATGTTGACTTTTGGCACGTGTTTTACGCCGGATGTCCTTCCTGACCCAACCCTGATTCGAACCCGTGGCACAGCGGCAAGAGCGCTGCTCCTTAACCACTAGCCTATCAGGGACGGCTATCTGTTGTTCTTAAATAATATTTCATTATGCTTGTGATACTGCAATCACTGAGGACAGGTCTACACCAGTGTTACTAAGACATTGTGTATTTTTTGATCAAAATAACCCTGTGCACAAACCTCACAAAATACCTGATTAGTGTTGAATGTGTATTTTTGACAAACAATTTAACCATAGGTGTAGTGCTGCCGGAGCGCACCTGAACAACACTGCACCACTTTTCTTTTTTCTCCGAGAGGACAAAGAATAGGCCTACTGTCATAATCTGATTGGAATTCATAACGTTGCATTATTGTGAGTTCTTAAAGATCCAGTCATCAGTAAAGTGTATGTCCTCCAAAATGGAAGCTGTGGTAATAAAATTTAAGGGGTGATGACTGATTCACATCAACTCAAACAATGTGCACTTCAGAATTGGCACCCGCGAGGGCTTGTGTGTTTTGTCCAATCACTTAACGTGGTTCACAGCAACAGTCAAGTGACAGAAAAAAACTAAGATTATCCAGACCGACAAACTAGAGCGTAATCTCCAGGAGCAGCCATTGAGACAAACATCAGCTGCAATGATCAGCAGCAGAAACATACTTTACATTTACCTTTAGTGATCCTGGGATTTCAACTGTCTGTTTTACCTGTGTACCCATCAGTGATCAGCTGAAGGCCTACATGGTGCAGGCAGAGCACAGAATGGCCAAACAAGGATGGCACATGCTGACCAGTCACGAGCCTCGTGCATAACTGATGTGTTCACTGTTGCTGGCTGACAGGGAAACCAACATGAAGCAGGAGGAGCTCAGTGAACAATCAGTACATTTTGGAGTTGGTTTAACACTTGAGAGGAGCGCATCTATTTTCTTACAGATTTAGGAGGTGTTTGATGACTGGTCATGACAAATATTGGGGGCTAAGATTATCTATGGATATAACATTCACCCTCTGACAAAGGACATCTTATTCACAATCATTCTTCCACACCAGAGATTAAAATCAGTCTAGCATTTGACTGCATGGGCAGTTACAGTTGCCATTATAGGATAAGTGTTTACATGGCCCTCAAAGCAAGCCACAGTTAAACATGTGCATGCATGCACCACGTCATACTTTAGGTGTACTCTAGTATTTCATCAAATAGCACTACATCTCTGGGTTTAATGATTGAAAAGATTACACCACTAATTTAGCATTGCACTCCTATAACAGTCAGACTCACAACTGACAGTTGTGTAAAAATGATCTAAACTGATGCTACAGATTACTGCCTTAATTATTCCATGTATTTGTCTGTCTGAAAACCTGTGCTGATCAGCTGGCCCCCATCTTCACACTTATCTTCAACAGATCACTTGAGCTGTGTGAAGTCTCCTCCTGTTTCAAATGCTCCACCATCAGTGGACTTAATGACTACAGACCCGTGACCCTGACATCTGTGGTCATGAAATCCTTTGAAAGACTGGTGTTGGACCCCCTGTAGTTTGCCAGAGGGCAAACAGGTCAGTGGATGATGCAGTCAACACTGAATTACTGAGCCAGCTCACTGTGCCTGCCCCCACCTGTTAGTGGATCCCTAGCTTCATGACAGACAGGAAGCAGCAGGTGAGGCTGGGGAAAACCACATCCAGCACTCAGACTATCACCACAGGCACCCCCAGGGATGGGTAGTCTACCTGCTGCTCTTCTCCCTCTACACCAATGACCACACCTCAAGGGACCCCTCTGTTAAATTCCTAAAGTTCACAGATGACACACACGGTGACAAGTCAGTCTACGGATGGGACGTTGAAAAGCAGGTCCTATGCAGCATTTGCACCAACCTGGAGCTGAACATGCTGGATGGCACTATAGGTCACTGTACGTCACACCAACCAGACAAGGACAATTTCTTCCCCCCAGCCATCACTCTGATGAACAGTTAATCCATTTTTATATGTATGTATAACAAACAAACACCACAATGCAGTAACTTATAGATGTACATAAAATCGCTCATTGTTATTGTTGTAACATTGTTGTATATATGTGCATATTTAGAACTAGATGGTTGTTTGTATTCTTGTTTTTACTTTTTATTTTGTTTTTTTCAGTTTTATTCGGTGCACATAGAGGGCCACTGAGCTGGAGTCTGATTCCTTGTATTTTAATATAATTGGCAATAAAGTTTATGATTGATTGATTGATTGTCAAAACCTACATTATCCACAATGCAACTCAGCTGTTAAGTTTAAAACTTGTAGTCTTTAGATCCAGCTGATGCTAATTTAAATGATATCACTCTGGAGCCACAGAAGGCTTTATACAACACAATATAAAACCTGTAAACAGAGTTTAATCTAATATCAGTGGGGTTACTCTTTAAGCACTAGTCATATCTTGCATCTTGTTTGTAGCTCTTGTTTTGTTGTGCCACTTCATAAAACAATGTCATTACTAAGTAAAAATGATACATCCTGAGCTAACTATATTCATGATTGTACAGTAGTTTTGACCTGCATTTATGTCATTTTGAGAAAACATACACAGACTAGGAAAAACAAGTAAACGCTTACGGTGGAGAGTAGTTGCAGACCAGATAGACAGCTTTAGCCCAGATCATTCCCCACACATTCATGTTGTAACACACATTGATGGCACAGCCAATACGATTAGTAGTAGCCCACACCAACTGGAAAAACAAACAAACATTCAAACCATTTAAAGTGTTTAATGGTCCCCTCACGTTTGATTGAATAGTGGTCATCAAATGTTAGTGCTGAATATTTACATGCACTATCTTTTTAGATGATTCTGGTATATGTGGATCTCACAGGAACTGAAATAATGCAAAAAAAAATACACATTTTGTAGATTTTGAGAGGAAAGGCAATGAAAATTTCCATTAAATAAACATTAACATTTCTAATGCTAGAATAAGGTAAAATAAATCCCTAATGTTTAATTTAAATCGAATGTCCTGAAAATGTACAGTGTTGTGCACACCCTCTCTGTCTTTCCTCCTAAAGTGAGTTTTCAACATGATCACAAATGAATTATAAAACAATTTAGTTTGACATTAGAAACTGGCCTGAATTTCTCACTAAGTACTGAGCTTTTCACTTTTTCCATGTAATATATGTTATCAGAGGCAGCAATTAATAAAGTCTCTCTCTCGCTTGCTCATAAAATATGCTCCCACTAAAATAAACCCACCAGACCCTGATATTTACATACAGTATGTCTGGGGGCGGCTGTGGTTCAGGAGATACAGTGGGTCATCTCCTAACCGGAGAATTAGCGGTTTGATTCCCAGCTTGTCCATTCAACACGTCAAAGTTTCCTTGAGAAAGTCACTGAAACCCCAGTTGCTGTGAATGTGTCTGAATGTGTGAGCGGTTAGTAGTGTGAAAGTGCTTTGAGTGTGCTGTAAAGCGTAGAGAAGCACTATACAAGTACAAGACCATTTACCATAATATCAAAGATGAATGTCTTGTTATTTAAATTTTTCTTAAAGATCCCAAAGCATTGAATAACTGTCACAACATGTATATATAAAAGCCCTTTTACCTGAGTGTAGTGCGTGCAAACAGGCCCTGAGCATCTGAATGGGCAGTGTGGGTTACACTCCTGGGAATATGGATAACTATAATACCTCACCTCATCATACCAGGCCTGGACGTGATAGGTAGGGGGGCGATCCCTATAGTGACAGAAAAGGTATTATACTGTATCTTTTATTTATGCCACCAAAAATGTTGCAACAATAAATATATGTAAAACAGGTCATACCATGTAGATGCAGTCATAAAATGTGTTGCTATTTTATAAAGAGCTAAACTTTCTTTATGAAATTTCCCCAATTAAAGTAATTCAACTTAAGCTCTTTCAGTAAAATACTAAATTAAGCAATTTCAAGATACAATTAATATTTTTACTTCACAGACTCCATAGAAAGATAGATGTGACAGGTCCCCAGAAGTGAAGCCACCACGAGTTGATTGCCCCCCCGGTGGCTGGTTGCAATATAGGTCATAGTTCAATAGTGGCCGCTTCCTGCCACTATTCCGAATTTAAGCCAAAATATTTCTAATACAGGGTCAGCCATTTTGTTTTTGTGATGCATTTTGCAATGAGATTCTTCACAGTAGTGACCAGAGGTGAAAGCATGTTATCAAGCAACCAATCACATAGTATATTTTTATGTACAGACTATGTATTGGACAAATATTTGACATTAGGTACTTGTGTCCTGGGGATTTTGGGTTTGAGTGTGTGCACCTACACTCACAGAGGAGTAGGTTCTGTCTTTCCAGGCTTGACGTAGGATGTCCTGGGGGGAATAACCTCCAAACCCAATTGTGTGTACATCTGACATCACCTGGATCGTGCTGTAAACTGTTTCATTATGTGGAGTGTTGATCTCTGCTTTGGAAAGGATGCATTTCTCATCTGGAAACTGTATTACTTTTTGCAGGATGCTGGAGTTGGTCACCTGTTTTCAAAGATGAGGAAGACAGACCCATCAAAGTTTAATGAATCGTCAGTTTTTGCAGCAGCTTTTCATTTCATATGGCAGAAGATTTAAATGTGGCAGCATGATAAAAGTTGAGCAAGTAAATATGCATTTTGTAAGAGCTCTGCTGATATATTTTATCCTTTTACATAAGTTTGTCACTGAATTGTAGACACATCTGTGCTCTTCCTGACATTAGAACTGTGGAAGCAAATGGATTCACAGAAGATATACAGTGAGCTGCAGAGTGACACGAGTGCCAACTGACTCCTATGTAAACAGTATTAAGCAGGTGGTCATAATGTTATGCCTGATCGGTGTATGTGTTTGCTGAAAACAGCTGCCTGGTGTTGCTGGAAATAACATCATTGATAGAAGTGAATCAAAAGAGTAAAGCTGTAGCTTGGTAAACCAAAATCACAAGCTAAAATATTGAAAAGCGCATCTTTAAATGTACCCAAACTGTTATTAGTACTTTACATTTAAACAAAGAATAGAATATTATCATTCTGAACTGTGAGGTTTGGAAAAATGGTCTCAGATTAAAAACAAATAATAAAAATGAAAAAATAAAAAAATTGGTTAAAATGACATTTAATGGAAACACTTCCCCTCACTTCTGTAATATCCATACTTACACACCTGCCCCAGTGTGCTCCAAGGTTTTGGCCTATTTGTGTCAACATGTGGTGTGGTCCATGTTCCCATTGGCAGGCATGTGCCCAGTGCTCTGCGCTCCTCTCCAACTCATAATCCCATACCTGAGGAGCACACACAGAGGTTAAAAAGTTACTTGACTCTGAAAAAAAAAAGATCTTAAAAGATCAACTCAGAGGGTCAGCTATCACCTCAAGAATTAAGTTTAGTAATCTTAGCTTTTTCTTGGGCTCTAGGTTAAACTCAGTAATTGGGTTTTGCCCAAGTCAAGAGATGTCTGACTGTGACAGATGTTTGCTGACCTGAAACTTCACCCTGGCTCACCCTCCTGATTTAAATGAGTAAAGTTTCCATTCACCAGAGTTGTCGATTTAGTTGCTAGTCATTACATTTTTCAGATTTCTCATTTTCTTCCAGAAAATTAAACTACCTACCGTTGAAACTAATCTCCAAGTAACCATACATACTTGAGGTAAAATGAACATGCCCTTTGCTTGAAAGTACTGTATGTGTATGCATGCCTCTCGAATATTTAACACAGCATGGTCAAAACTAGGCCTGTCAAGCATGCATTCACTCTCTTACTCTAAGACACACACATAAGAGAGAAGGGAAACAGAAAGGTAACACCACCACCACATCAATTTGCAGCTTTGTGCTACTATTTAATGTGGTTCTGTCATAGCTTGTTTCCAGTAAGCAAGGGGGGGGCTACCATAACAGAAAGCCTCTGTCTTGATGCCATCTTTACTGTAAAACTTGACAAAATCTAGCTAAATTAAAGCCAAAACACCTGCAAACTATTTACACAACTCTTGTTTTGAGCAAAGCAAGAAAAACTAACCATTCAAATTCAAATGTTTCAACAAAGTTAATTTAGTTGTGACTTTGAGGTGGGAGAAGAATAGGTGTAGTGTGTTCTACCACTGATAAACTGTTTAGCTGCATTACAGCTATCACACATCAAAACTGCTCTAATTGTCCAGCATAATGTGTTCCATATGTTTGGTAAGGTGCACACACTACACACCGTTGTCCATTAACTGTGGTGCTATTTACTGTTCAGGCCTGAATGGAGAAATGATATTTTGACCCTTTAGTCTGGCCACAGTCCAGCTGTGACCGAGGTGATTTTCTACTTTAAACTGTTGTGATACTGTATTTTTTTGCTGGCACTGCATTGTATCATAGATGTTAAGTAGAATTCTTTTCATTCCACATTTGATTAGTCTGTGTGTTTTTTGCGCTAAGCTAAAAGATTGCATGATTCTCAAAGGGGTTGAGCCAATTCTGTTACCATTAGGCTGCAGAAAATGGAAAGTCCTCACAATGCTAGTTGTATTTTCAAAAACAACAAAAAAGCATGCTCGAATTTTTCTGTTACATGGTGGTTTACAGTAGATGAAATGAACAGAAATTTGAGGAATTATTCATAGGACATACAATAAGATTAATGTGGCCTTTACTGGGTGTTCAGTCCAAACACAGGACTATGTTGAAATAATGCAAGAGGCTATATTGATAGGAGCATATTACTACAGGTACAGGCGTCACCATTAAAAGCCCAACATATCAAATAGCCAGAACATTTGAATTTTTTGGAACTGAGATGTTTATTAAACCTTTTAACAAAATCCAAAATATAATTCGTGATTCGAAATTCAAGATTCATGATTTTTATTTGCCATATATGCATAGACAGACAGTCCAGGCATATAGGAATAGATGTGCCATATTATTTAGATTATTTCTATTTCTTTCATATTACATTTGATACATGGGGCATTTTTGGCGATTTTTTTTCCCCTCAGAAAACTCACGTATCAAATATGATACAAATAGTTTTATAGGATTAAGTACAATGAATTATGATCTAGGATGGCAGGTTTGAGTAGCAGATGAAAGAATTTGAGGAGGCTTTCAAAAAGCTATCATATATACTATACTATGACAACAGTTTTTTCATCCTTCATCTCATTTGCCCTATTTCACAGCAGAATCAGGGAGTAAACTATTTTCCTCTACACCACTACACACACCTCACCCCTTCTCATCTCTCCTCCCGGGTCTAATGCAATACACTTCTGTTACTGTAACACTGAAATGATCTGTTAATTTACGTATACTCTACTCACAGGATACTGCTCTGTTATTCATTTTCACACTCTGCTTTTCATATGCAGATACTGTATATTTATCTTTGCACTATTCACATCCATTGAACTGTCAACTCTTGTAACTTATCTTCTTATTCTGCACTGTTTCATTCCATTTCATCCCACTGCACTAGTGATGCAAGGACAATAATCTCAGCCTCAACACGGACAAGACGAAGGAGATGATAGTGGACATGAGGAAGGAGAGGAAAACTCATCGGCCACTGTTCATCCGGGGGCTCAAAGTGGAGATTGAGAGCATCTTGACCAGCTGCATCACTATCTGGTATGACAGCACTACTACTATGGACCGCAAGCGCCTGCAGAGAGTGGTAAAGACTGTGGAGATCACCAGGACTCCACTGCCCTCTCTGCAGAGCATTTACCACTGCAGGGTGTGTAGGAAAGCTGCCTCCACCCTCAAAGACCCCACCCACCCCCAGCACGGACTGTTCGCCTCCCTACCCTCTGACCGGAGGTTCAGAAGTGGGAAATGCAGGACCTCTAGACTGAAAAAGTCTTTCTTTCCCTCTGCCATCAGACTCCTAAACAGCTGAGGAGTTTATTACCAGGAAATACGTCATGTACTGACAACCTGTATTGTTTACATTCTCAGTTTGCACATGCATAATTGCACATTGACTTGACTGCTGCACATGCTGCTCCCATTCAGCATACATTCTCTTACTATATTCTTATATATTTTTATTATATTGCTGCATTTGCTGCTTAAAGTGCTTTAGATTTTGTGTTATCTACTTTATATTTCACTTATATTATGTGGCATTCATATGGACGGCAAAGTAAGAATTTCATTGTGCAGGGAAACACGTTTCCTAACTGTGCATATGACAAATAAACACTTTGACCTTGACCTAGTGTTTTATAAGCTTAATGTACTTTATCCACTACTTGTAATGTAAATTCATAAAGTCTGTTGTATATTGTACATTACCTTACATATAATACTGAAAATATCAATTGTACCTGTCGATTGTTTAATTAGTTCTGACTGTACATACTGTACACTCTGCACTGCTGTTATTACACTTCTGGTTAGATACTAAACTGTATTTCATTGCCTTGTACTTGTACATGTGTAATGACAATGAAGTTGAATCTAATTTAATCTAAACAGTGTGTTGCATTTGGGGATTTTTTAGGGGGCTCACATGTAAAACAGCTGTAATGCCATATTTGGTAGAGAATTTGATGTGAGGAGGGCTTTTGTGCCCACAAACATTGTTGAGGATAGTGATGTGCACTGCTTTATCTGGTGGCTCAAGTGCAGTGTTAATTAAAGAAGCATTTTATTACAATGCCAGTGAAGTTAGAGATGCAATAATCTTAGTACATACGTTAGTGTGACTAATGTTGCCTAAATCGGCATTTGTTTCGCGTTCTAGGCTTCAAACAAAGTGTTTGTTGGATTGTCAAATTTATCCAGCCCACTCCTGCTGCGCTTTTCTGACCTTAAAATTAGCAGTGGCTTTAACGTCTTTAACTTTCTTCAGCTGTAATTCCATAAACACGTCTTCTTTAGCCTACGGAGAAAATAAAATTATACAGAAATGGACCTTCTCTCTCAAGCTCTCTTTTTTCATTCTTCCCAAAACTACACGCAGCACGTTTTATGCATAGAATCCAGTGCAAAACACTGAATGCTGCAAGCTAAAACTTTGAGTGTCAGAATGTACACACAGAAATGTCTTGCCCCTCTCTGATGATAGTTTTCACCCCTGCCTTCAAATAAAGCTGTTTAGAACAGGTAAAAAAAAAAAAAAACTTTTTGGATGGATAACACTTTGTACCTTTGTACAGACTAGTTTGTTTAAAGCATATGAAACTTTTAATTCTAAGGCAATACTGCCCAGCCCATGTGTCACCAGTTCCAAGGGTTCTAATGAAATTTGAGTTCAGCACAAAGCTTTCGCAGCAAAAAATCTCAAGCTCATTATTCTCTCATGTTCTTGTTATTCTTCACCCCCAGTTATTCAGCAGAAGGGAAGATAAACTGCCCACCAGCCTTTGGAGAAAGGTCACCATAACAGCTACCAATCTCCTTTTGCATTCCAGAAAGCATTAAGTTCCGAATGTTCAGCCATCTACCAGGACCACCTTTGCTACAGAGTTAAGTACATGATGTGCATTCTAACAGCAGCAGATTTAGATGGAGTGCTCAAGGTAGCTACAGTAGCAAGAAAAAGCAATGGTACTGTTTGCAGTTTTGTGGTTTTCTGCATAAATTGGTCATGAAATGTGAAAAGTCACAGATATCAACAAACACAATATTTCTAAGCTGATAAAACACAAACAGTCATTATCTTTCATGCCTTTAATGAACACACCCATTAAACATAAAAAGTGGTGGTGGACAAAATACTGTATAAGGTCTGAGCATGAAAACATTATGACATAGTAGTTATTACTGTGACAGACACAGACTAATATGTAGATAGCCACTGCCAACCAAACGCCTCAGCTTGGACCATTACTTTTTTCAACATCACTTTGTATGTTTTATTGTTTCAATAAAGACATGAAAAATCATGGCTGTGTTTTATCAGCTTCGAAATATTGTGTTTGTTGATGTTTGTGACTGGTGAAGATCAGATCACATTTCATGACCAATTTATCAGAAAACCAGGAAATTGCAAACAGTGCCATTACTTTTTTTGTGACTCTATATCAAGGAATAAAACAAATAACCATCCTTTATTTCAGTCATTCAGAGTATGCAAAATGCTTTACTTGAATGCTTATAATTCAACCATCATTACAGAGGGAGATTGTGATTAAGAAAACTTTAGTGGTCTCTGTTACTCGGGAAGATCTATTGGGCAAGGAGTGACAAACTTAAGATTAATGGATACAAACGTTCTGTGCATGCATTTGCTTTTGATTGAAATTAAATAGTCAAGGCTACAGTGGAGTGCAACCCCTCTGACTTCCAGATCCTGCAATCTGAAAACCAAATGCTTGGCTTTCGTCTGGCTCCTGCCTTACCACGTTATCATCAGTAATAGTATCCCTCACTGAAGAAGCACTGGATTAGTGTACATAACATACATTTACACTACTGTGCCCTGCACTTCAAACAACAGGGCTTGACATTTTTGAAATAGATTCACCACTATGGCACCCAAAATGAAATGCATAGAGGATCAAACAAAAGACAACATTGGCCTTGGCCAGGGTTTGAGTGAGTTGGATGGGGAGTGATGAGGCGAAGTGGGAGAGTGAAAGTGGAGGAGGGTGAAAACAAGCCTGAAGGAAAGCTTGTGAGGCTGAGGATAAAAAAAAAAGTAAGGCAGGGAGAAAAAGCAGGAGGAGAAATAGAGAGTGACAGAGTAAGGAGATTTAGGGAGGGGAACAGGACGGTTGAGGTAGAGGGCAGGACAACACTGGGGGGTGAAATCTGGATCTGGGCCAGGGTCAGTGAGGGTGGGCAAACAGAAGGCAGAGGCTAACCAGATGGTGTCTTTGGCTTGCAAACCTTGTTCTCTTGGTCTTTTCTTCCCTCCTCCGCTGTCTTGAATTGAAAAAGCTTCACTGGCAGAATCAGGAAAGTGCTTTCCTCTAAGAAAGACTGGTGGCTTTACTATCAAACCACTATGATTTGGTCATGCTCATTAGATGTGTACCTTGTATTGAATCTACACTACCAGCCAAATGTTTGTATACACCTTCACATTCAATTCAGTTCAGAAAGTGCGTTTAAACTTTTGAATGGCAATGTATTCTATTGATATACATACAGGAAGCATGTAGTCACAAGGACACTTATGATCCTGAATGTTTATCCATCATTCATTATTCATCCAAGCCCAGTCCTGCTGTTAATGTGTGTTTTTGGACAACATGTAGACACTTGATGACAATTAATATTCAAAATTCATACAATATGCTTATCTTATTTATATAGCTAATGTCGACTTTGTCACTTGGGGAAAATCCTTTCTCTGACTATTCCTTTGGATTCACGTAGACTCAACAAAAACCATGTAAAAGGTTGAGTGCTACGTATATGGTATGGTGCTAAAAGGCTGGTGTTACATGTCCCAGGCAAAAAGTCGGGATCTTCACCATTTGAAGCTGCTCATAGAAGACATGGGAAATAAAAATCTAGCATAACGTCACCTGTTCCCTCAGCACTTACATACCATGTACTCCATGTTGGAGGCAGGAGGGTAGACCTGCCCACGCAGCTTGTTGTGCAGGTCCAGGATAAGGTGCATGTCTCCCTCACTGATGGCCCTCTTCCCTCTCGACCTGGCCCTCCACCACTCTTCATCCTTGTACTTGTCCAACATGGACTCAAGTCGCGTGGAGTTGGTGAGGACCATGGTCAGAACAGTCAGGGTCAAGTACAAGAACAAGCTTGCTGCTGTAACGCAGCCCAGGAACGGAACAGAGCTTTTCATAATGGGGAATGCAGATGAATGAAGCCTTTTGTTGTCTGCCAAACAGAAAGAGTGCATGTTGAGGTAAAATAGCCTGACTTTGAATTTTTTCTTAATTACTACAAACTGTTTACTTCCTACAGATGAGAACAAAACTTGGCTCTTTATTCATTAAAAACAAACATTAGCAATAATCTTATTCCTTTTTAGCAAGCTTGCCTACACTACAGCGTCTTTAAAAAACCAAAGAAGAGAACCTTAACCAGTCTCCTGTCTCTATAATACTGCAGTTATAGGGGATTTCACTACAAACAGTCTAAGGCACTTCAGGGATATGTGTGCATCTGCACTGCATCAGAACATGACCAGTGCAAACTGAGTTTGCCAACTTTGTTGCCAAGCGATGTAGTGCGCATGCGTGAGTCACTGTATTCCATGCGCTAACATACACTGCAGAGAGAGTTTTTAATTTGTAGACTTATGTAAAGGCATGTCCTAAATATTTTCTTTTAATGGTCCCATCAGAACTAAAATACTCCAGTGGCATTTCTTAGACTAAAACAATGGGAAAGGTCTAATAAAATATAAAAGCACTGTGAAAACCTTAATGATAGGATATAACAGTCTACGTATTAAAGAAACGAAAAAATAGAATTAATCTGCTATAAATTCACTTGTGAGAACATACACGCACTCCTAATAATATCAGAGGCTATAGAATAAGCTCATTTTTATTTGACAAACATGAAGTATAAGTGCAAATTTACCTTTAAATTCCGCCACACTGATCCAAAAACTATGTCCCAGGTGCAATATTCCAAAACGCCTTTAGATTATTGCAGAATGACAATATTTCAGTCCAGTAAGCCTTTAATTGCATCCATCACACATAACGAGTGCAGGCATTTGGCTCTTTTCCAGACTCCACACAACTCAAAATTGTCTGCAAGTACCTGTAGAATTCCTCAGGTCGCACAGTGCCCTGCTGGCTGCGTGGGACCGCTACTCATTTTGAGTTTATATGTCAAATTTGTTCTTAGCAATGTACAAAGCAGCGGACCACGCCTCCTCTAAACCTCTTGCCCCAACAACCGCATCCCCATCACACACACCCACCCACACCAGCGCAGCTGGCAGGATCTGTTGGAGCTGGGTTGATCTATTTGAGGAGGCATCATCGCACTATCGGTGACGTGAAGGTAAACGTGGATGTTATGAGAGCTGCCCATTCCTGTTTCGACGGCGATATAAGATTCCTATAACACCTAGTGATTATACAAAAGTATTTGGTGCAATCTCTTCTGGTATATGCATGTTGTTTAAATATCAGCCAAGGATCGATAAAGGGAAAATCTGTTTTTCCTCACTATCGTAAGAAAACAAATCCATCAGATCGCTGTTTCAAAAAGAGATTACCATGAAATCTGGGGTTTATTTTGTATTGGAATCAGTTTGTGGGTGATCTGAAGTGGGAAAAGGTTAGGCTTTTACCTAATCTTTAAGTTAAAAGAGGTTTCTTTTAAGCTTATTCACAGAGTTTATCCAATGAAAGTTTATTGTAAGAGATTTAGTGTTAAATCCGCTCGAACACAGGGGTGAGCGAGTCAAAAATATGACGGACCCAGGTGGCTGACTTCAGTGCAAGTAGTGCTCGGTTTATTTACAGTGATATCAACAAGGAAGGAATAACCAGGTAGAAGTGGGACCGGGTGTCGAGCCGCAGAAGGTGAATAACAGTCATTGGTGGAATGATGAGGGAAAGGCCGGGCTGCGGACGCTGGGACTCACTCCTGGGCTGGTCGTGGTGGAAGGTTGCTGAGGAGACAGAGTTAGTACAGGAGCTAAAGACTGGAACAGAGCTAGGGCGACAAAACGTGAAGATACTATACAGTAAAAGAGAACAGGAAACAAACGGGCCTGATAACGCTAGAAAGAACTGGCAGGGGAGTGAACGTAGAGCAGGGAATAAATAGGGAGAACTAATCAGGTGCAGCTGGTGGTAATCAGGGGATATGAAGCAGGTGTGTCGGATAACGTCATCAAGGTGAGGGAGCAAAAACAGAGTGAGGGGAGTGAGAAGGCAGGTGCATCCGGGCAAACCTGACATTTAGAGTAGATATTGACCCTATGTGCACTTTCTGTGGTAATTCCCCTGAGACTGCTGTTCATTTATTTTGGTATTGTCATTTTATAAAAACATTTTGGTTTGACTTTTGTGATTTTATACATATAAATATTGATAAGGATTTTATTTTGTACTGGAAGAATGTTCTGTTTCGTTGCTTAGAAAAACGATTCTCATGTCATGTATATGTCTCTAACTTGTTAATTTTATTGGCTAAGTTTCATATTCACAAATGTAAATTCACAAACAGAAAACCTCTATTTTTGGTCTTTTTAAAAGAGTTCAAACAATACATTTCTTCAATATTTTTTTCTGATAATACAAAGGCCATCAAAAGAATTAATTTATGCACCTTATTTAGAATTCCTGGTTAGATAATACCCCCCCTAGCTTTTTTGTATTCTTTGTCTTTCTTTCTTTATTTGTTTCTATTCTGGCTCAGTGGATGTATGTTGATTACACTCTTATATCTTTGTATCTTTGGATGACTGTACTGTATTCTTCTTGTTGAATAAAGTTTAAAAAAAAAAGCAGCCCATTCCTGTTACAAATACATGATGCTGTTTACAGGTTTGACAGGCTGCTAGAAATTGGCTAAACTCTAAGTTATAGTATGAATGCTCAATGAACTCTGCCGCGTTCCAATCAGAAGTAAATAACCAAGAAAATAAATAAATAAAACTACAATTAGAATAAATTCAAATGATTTAGTAGTTAGAGCACTTCCTGTTTTCATATTATATCACTACTATAGCTCTTATGGTGTCACTTACAGGACCAGTTTGTAGTGGTATCTGTACAATGTCCTTGCAAAGGTAATATAAAAATTGTTATTACATGCTAGTAAGTACACCAAACATCCCATTCATGAGCATCTGTGAATAGTGTATTCAATTTCTTGAGGGCTAAACTTGTGTGCATTCACAGCATGTCTTTCTTTATTTTGCCTGAGAAGAACAGTATTAGCAGCAGCAGCCAGATGAACATTTGTGAAAGCTTGTAGGTTGAATGTGTATGTGAGTTCACATCTCTCTCTCTCTCTCTCTCTCTCTGTTTGGGTGGATCTTTGTTTCTGCTTCCTCTGCTCCTGCTGTAGGTGTACTGAAGAAGACTGTTTTTTAACTCTCATCCATAAAGGGAAATATTTCAAACAATGCAAATAAAACCTAAAACAGCATGAATCATTTAGGCAACAAGTTACAGTTAAATTGACAAAGGACCAGGAGTGTATTGGTGATGCCCCCACCATGAACCACCAGCACCAGGTGAGGCCAACACTTGGGGAGCTCTGGAGCAGCTCAGCAGGGTGAGGTCATCCAGGGCAGCAGGACAGCAGCATCCTTGTATTATGGTTAAGTTAAACCTTCCTTTTGTTTTACTGTTCATCATGGTTTGTGTTAATAGTTGATTGTTGGGACTAAAACAGGAGAGACCCAACCCAATGTGTGGTGTGTTCCCCTGCTAAACAGCTCCCAGACCCTGAAGAGGGAACTTGTCTAAGAGGGTGTCAGCAGCCCAGTCCAGTGTCAAGTGTTTTAATACTGGTGATTACACAGTGCACACTTTATATGCCTTGGTGATTACATAGGTGTGCATGTGCATGTGCGTGTGCATGTGTGGTTGTTTGTCTATGTGTTAGCCCTGCGATGGCTCCACTGCCCCCCCCCCATGACCCCGTTCAGGGATTAAGCGGTAGAAGATGAATGAATGAATGATTACACAGTACAGTATGTTTCAAGCATATTTCTAACTTCACAAGCAATATTTGGTCTCTTCTACAAGCATCTACTGCCCTCTCTTGGATATAGTAGAACGTTTTAGTCAAAACCAAATCAGCCTTACAGGCAAGCCATGCAAAGCCTTTAGTAATGTCCATCATTTTACATTTGGTGATTCATAAAGAACAGTTGCTGTGGCATTTACAGTACAACAGTGAAGTCTTCATGTGGATAATCTACTTCAAATGAATGCTTTTTTAGGACCTAGCCCACAATTCAGAAAAAGAACCAGCGGCCACTCCATGTGCATTTATACAGGGGAACAAATATACCAAAAACATAGTGAATTAGTTCACAGTCAGTGACATCGTAAAGCAATGTAGCTAGCAAGAACGTAAAAATAAATATTAAAAATATTAAAAGCAGCCCAATTTTGAAATCTGGTAAGTGTCACAAAAACAGTTTCATTATTTAAATATGAAAAGACATCCAGGAAGTAAGGCTAACACTGGACTTGGGTTTGAAAAGCCAAACTATTTAAGACATCTTTTTTTTTTTTTACTTTGTGCAGAGTCTCTCTGATTTCAGTCTTTTTGTTACATTATGTGGATCAACTTCTGGTTGTAGCTGCATATTTAGCATTTGGACATGGAAGTGGTATCAATCAGCTCATCCAACTTTCAGCAAGAAGCAAAGAAACCTATTTACCTAAATGTTGAACTGTTGATGCAGAGCCCTTTTACACTAGTTTAACCTACAGTTAAAACAAACTAAACTGCAGGTAGGTTATGAACCGAGACTGCTTGTATGTCTTATCTGTCTGCCAGGAATCTTTTATTTAGATTTTGACCATTTTTTCTGAAGTCACAAGTAAACTAACATTATGTTTATTTGGTTCAATGGCTCAGAAACCAAGCCTGTAGTGGTATTTGTCAATTTGGCAACATCTGACTTGTGCAAACTTAACAAATAAAGTTACTTTATCTTGAACTTGTACCTGTTAGACTGTATGAGATGCTTGAACACTGTTCTAAACGTGCCTACTACTATGACATATGAGCCATCTCTCAAAGTTCTTATCCAAATGGCTGTTCCTTTTGCCACTAAAAACATCCTTGCCAATGCTGAAAAGCCGCTCACTGACAGCACTGGCCGAGACACTGGTTCCTGTGTCCCTCCTGTCATCTCACCTGCTGCCGTCTCACCTGCCCGTCCTCCTGCTTCCTCGCCTTACCAGTCCCCTGTTGCCTGCTGCACGTCCTGCCAGCCCTGAGCCTGCTTGACCTCCTGCCACTCAGCATAACCTGTTTCTTGTTTAATAAACTGCTTTCTATACTTCTTTCCCTTCTGGTTTCTGTGTCTGCATCTGGGGTCTACACCACACCCAACCATAACACAAACTCTGTCATAACACACATGTAATGATGTGGAATGAAAGCAAAGTGCTGCCACAGTCTGATATATGAGGGGAGTTCATACCAGTGGAAATGGAAGTTTCACCAGACCAGACCAGGATTGGGATTCTCAGTTCAGACACTTTAATCCCAGCTTGGATCCACTGGGAGTGAACACATTGAGCTGTGGCAGCAGCTGTACACACTCTTAGCTCCATGAAGGAGGCAGCTTAATGCTTCTCCAGCAGTCTGATGGAGTTCCCGCATACAGTATGCTGAGCACTTGTTGGCTGCTCGTCCTTCACTCTGCGCCCCGACTCGGCTGAAGCCGGCTGTCTGTGGAGGCTGGGTCACCTGATGCGGCCTCCATCAGCCTCCTTGGTCAAACAGCCCTCACAGAGCCTGAACATGTGCTTTGGCTCAGCGGCTTGTTCCACAAGCAGCAGTGTGCACAGCTGGCATCAAGGCAGACAGTGGCGCCATGTGCCCTGTTCTGTTGTAACATGGCTTTGCTTCATACGTCATTCCACATGTGCTGTTTCATGTTGCTGATGTCTTCAGTCGGAGTCTCCAGTGTAGAAACGCAGAGAAACAAGCAGCCAATGAGAAGGTGTGTCCATACTTTGGACCAGTGCCGTACGTGTACGTCTCCCCAGTGAAGGCTCAAATAAACAGGATGTGCAGCAGCCAGAACATCAGGACACTGATGGTGAAATCCTGAACTTCACACAGAGGAAGTGAAGCCACAGTTATCTGGCTGAGCTGCTGATCAGGCTTATTGATAGAGAATCAGTTCACGTTCAGCTGTTGAGACTGATGAG